CTTTGTATATCTAAAAGTTGGTTTACAATTTAGTTGAATAGGAAGGTTTTTATTATTACCAAGAATTGCGTTTAAGTAAAGATTATTCAAAATTTTATCAGTAAAATCTGTAATTAAATAATCTGGTTTGCGTATATTCTTGTGCTTATCATCATTGTTAAACCTATATCTAGCTAGGTCTTCAACTGAGTTTTAAAAAATTTGTTTCTTCAAAATTTTCTCCTAATGATCATCTTGAATCTGAAATAAATATTGCTTGATTTAATCTAAAATTCCAATTTTTTGCTTGTGACTTTTCGAATGACTTATGTCATGGATCATAAATGATGAAAGAGAATCCATCTCATATTTTTATTAAAATTATGTCCAATAGTGAGGCGACGTGTTTCCGCAGTTTTGTTGATATTAAACTATCCGGGAGAGATGCTCCACATTCCTCAGAATATTTGCGGAGGCAGGCCGCTTCACGATAATGTAGCTTCGCAGAATTGGAATAGCTTGCGAATAAATAAGGGCTGTTCTTATCCAAGTATCTCTTATGCTTTCTTGTATCCATCTCTCAAAGTCAGACACGATGGTTTTGGGAGAAAATCTTAACCCTCTTTTTTCACACTCAGACACCAAAGACTTGAACGTGTGGGCATAGCTGTCCTTTCTTTTGCCTCTTAGCAATCAAAACACAAACGGTATGTAATTTTCTTTATAATACCCGTGAACTGTAAACATTTGAATAAAAAATTTCGGAGCTGTATCAAAAGATCCATCCACGAGTATTATTTCACATTTACACATGCATTGGAGATTTGAAGCGCAGGAAAGCATAACTAAACCTTCATCTTTCATGTTTTTCAATAAAAATGCTTCTCCTTTAACTGTGCTAACATTTATTTTCTCCAGGACATCATGTGTTTCGAGTAAATCTTTTGGCATTTTTGGCAACACTGATAATCTTGCGTTTGTTATGTTATTTCTTATTAATTCACATCAGCTCTTGTAAGGACGTCAGCAGCACTTGGCAATGTCAGCATGGCCGAAAAAATTAGCTTGGCAGGCTTTTCTTGAAGCTTTTGGCTTTCCATTTTTATATGATTTGACAAAATCTTCCTCTTCAACACACGCTCAGTCAGAGGATCAAGGTTATGATCAGCTCGCCTCCTCGAAAAAGTTGCTTCATTTTCGAAAGCATATAACTTTGCTTTACAATTCTTATTAAACGCAACGCCAGAGTTCTCCTGAAGATTTATGTGTATAGGCGAACCTATAACGATAATTTTGGTGTAGAATAAGCACTTTACCATTTTCGCTATATATTTTTTCCATATCAGACTGAAACGTGTTCAACAAAAATAAAAATCAGCCACCAAAACCATAGAAATGTTGTAAATGGGTCGTTTCATTTTTGGTCCCCCGTTCCAAATTTAGGGGATGATAATTGGACCCCTTTACTGTGTCTTTGACAATTGGATAATGCTTGACCTTCAGAGAACATTGCCTGCAGCAGTAAGACTGGCAACTAAAGGTCAAGCAATGTCCTTTAAAAAAAGACAAGGGATATCGAAGTGATAGCAAAGGCAGCAAAATTTAAAACACGCCAAAAAAAAAAAAAAAAAAAGATGGAAAAGAAAGAAATATTATGTGTATATATGAGAAGGTGCAAATAGATTGCCTCCTCATTTAGATAATTAATTTAATTAATAAAAATAATCAACTGATATATTAAACGAAGTATTGGAAACAAATAATAAAAAATTTAATATGGATTATTCGTATTATACACATGGCGAGACGCGCCAAAAATTTGTGATCCACAAGGTACAGGCGTACGACGCTATTCTCTCTCCAAAACAACAACTACTACTACGATTGATTGCTTGATGGAAAAATCGGTTCCAGTTAATTTGTTTTAGTTTATAAATTTGGAGGTGCGCCATCTGCTGTCAGATTGCCAGTGCCATCTGTTGAGAGTCTGAGGAGACAGCAAATCGTCGCAGTACTCCACCCCAAGTGTTCAGGAGACTGATATCACAAGTAGCGGGTGTTGAAGTGCACACGGCGGCCGGAACGTGTCCTGATCTCTGGTCGAGCTGCCGGAGTTACTTCCGGAGTTGGATGTTGGGCAGTTCTAATGCAACTATTCTATATATGTTCTATATATATTCTATAATGTTCTATATATGCATGCAGCATTTATGATTCTGATATTTACGAAATCAAATAAGTCGAATTTATTGTATACGGAGCATAAGAGATAACATATATTTGCAAAAATATCAAATTTATTATTCACAGGAGCTAGTTACAAATTTATAAAGCCTTATGGCAAGCTTCCGTAGCTGTCCATAATATGCTGCCGTGTCCATATATGCTCCTTGGGGCATTTGGTTGAATCTTCCTTTCAAAGCAGCAAGTCGTGTTGGATTGAAAGCCAGTACTGTTTTTGAACTGGCAGGTTTTATGCCCCACATAGCAGCGTGATCTTTTCCACATCATTTTCATGTTCCAATTTCTTGATCATGTCTATAAAGACATAAATGTTAAGACTAGATGGCACTCCTCTGCGGCTCAGTTTGGAGTGCCACCCTTCAACATGGTTATTAGTCCTTATATTATCGGAATTATCATAATGATTCCATATAGATCTGTGAAATAAAATATTAAAATTAAGGCATTTTTAAATAATGGTATAATGTTCTCGTATTTAAATATAAAATGCAGTTTAATTATTTTCTTCCGTGGAATTTAGTACTTTCAGAAAAGTTCTGATGTAGGCATTGCAATTTTGGCCTTCAAGAGATTGTCTTACTTAAATTTATGAATAACAATAAGTAGCAGAACTTTTTTTTAAATTGATGCAAATTCATAAGTTTCCTTTTAGATATTATGATTTATTAGAGGAAATGTGAAGACAATATTTTATATTCCATATTTCATTTTACTTATAGGAGCCTAATTTTATAATTATAAAAATATAACTCTACTAATTATTTCATAAATACATATAGTTTGCCTACAGTAAGAAGTCCCCCCCCCCACAAAGTCTGAATCCATCTGCTGTTATGAAAACTAGAGTAGTGCATTTCAGGGAGGGTAGTTTCTCTTCACTCTAGGGCTAACACAATAGCCCAAAGAAAAATATTCCCTTTCTCTCGCCAACCAGAGCCAAAACCTAAGTCAGCGAGTATTCAGCTGTATATCAATGCAATATTTTATAAATTAATTCATTTTCTGTATGAACTTAAGAACTGTATTCATTAAGTTATGTGCTTCAGTGATGATATTAAACTATTATCTAAATTTACAAATAACGTTACAATTAAATAAACAAATAGCAGTAACATAAATTATTCATGGCTTTACTACTTATGAAAAAAAATTTATACACAAGGCTGGAAATAATTCCAATACATTCTGAATAAATCAATTTTATGTTGAATAAACTCTTGGAAAATTTATAACTAAATTCCAGAGAGTTTTTTTTTTTAATGACTTTCATAAATTAACAAATTCTATTTTTAAATTTACTTATAAAAATTATTATTATTTAATTGATGTAATAAAAGTTTTATTCTTAAATTAACAATTTTCAACATGTTACTTAAGTTTAAAAACACTGGCTCTTGTTTATTGCCTTAGTGAAACAGGGGATTTTTTTTCTTCAAATCTTCAGTTTGTTTCTATAATTAATCAAATATAGGTTAAATCAAAATTATGAGAATAGAAAAATTAATACATGAATAATAATGTGTATAAACTGAATTATCTAGAAATTATTCCCGACTGAAAAATTTCAAATAAAATTATACAATATTTTTAATATTAGTGGATTCAATATAAAATATTATTTTGATTATTAAAATTGCTTCAGAGAATTCCGTCTCGCACATGCTCTTCAATTTGTTGTTAAAAAAAATTTTGCGAAATCAGGAGCATGCGTATGCGTTTCTTTGGCAGTTTTCAAGAAGCCATTTATTGTAGTAAGTTTGGCTGTGCAAGTTTTGTGTTCGCATTTCCAATAAATGGTTTCATCTTTATATTTGCTGTGCAAATTAAGCAAATAATTTCTATATAGTAGCAAATAGCCACTTCTTGAAGATTTCAAGTAACTTATTTCCGACATTTTTTAAAATGGCTAAAAAAATTTCGTCAATTGAAGTTCAAATATATGGTGAAACGATAGTAAGAGGAAAATCTATTTTCCCTTTCAGGTTGTTTTTCCCCAAAAAAGGATTCTGTGCCCTGTATAAAATCCCTCTATACCCTTCCCTCACAAACGGACCCCTGGAGAACACCCTTGCCCACGGGTGCACACCATTAATTATCTATTGGGTCAACTTTCACTTGGGTGAAATGTCATTTACACGAAGAGGCTGCTAATTAATTGTTATCCTGCAAAATTTTGGAGTTAAAAGCATCAATAACACTGTCATACAACTAACCCCTCACAAAAATTTACAAAGAATTTACTAGATGGGTCTAAAGACTTAATTTCATCACACACAACGCAAAACTACCTCACCTATAGTCGAAAACATGATCCATTTTGGGAGTGAAAGAACCAGTTAATCTCTTGCAGACTTCATCTTTACTATCAATGAATATAGAATTATCTTCTTCTAAACAATAGCGAGCTAATCTTTTAAGTAAATCATTAGGATATCCAACAGCGTTTCGTTTTGATTTTCTCGACGCACGCTTAAAAACTAGTTGCTTACCTAAATGCCGATCGGGTGAAATATTCAATGTAGGAGAAAAAATGCAGTTTTTGAAGTTTATCTCTCCCTCGCAATCCCTCATATAAAGAAATGAAATTTTTTAAACTATTATTTGTGAATGGTAAAATGATGCACTGGATAGTTTTATCTTGTACTAAACTACCCAACCTAGTCAACAAAATACTGTTTTCTTTCATTTTAGCCTCCACATCTGAATAAGAATTAAACGCTGCCCCTTTTGAGTCTACCATGGTAGGAGGGAATTCTGCGTGTGCAAAATAGAAGTTTATTTTTTTAACCGAAGAAAACAACACTTTTCGAAGAGAACAAACTACACTTTCAAACAACTCGAGTAGAAAGAATATAACACTAACCCAGAAACTGTATGTCCAGAGCTTGCACACAATCCTCTTTGTTAGACTTGTTGCGACTGCGAAATATAAACGGATTTATATTAATACATATACTACAGGCTATATATTTATATAATACAGTATTTTTACTCAATCTAAGAAAAGTAATTAATTGTACATTTAGAATTAAATGTACACTGTCTAATGGAGAATAATTTTAGAAAAAAAAAAAGATATTTTATAACTTTGGTGTACTTAAATGAATCCTTACATTTATAATACAATAGTTAGTATTAATAAGTGAGGCTGTAAAAGGATGTACAGTAAATGAGGGAGGGGGGAAAAATCCTGAACTGCACCATAAAAGAATTAGAGAAAAAAGAAAATAACACTAACCCAGAAACTGAACAGCCAAAAGTAGTATTTTCTTCCTTTGCAACAGTTCTCCTAGACTTATTGCGACTGAAATAAGTAAATTTATATGTAATAATATATCTTTACGCATACATATATTTATTACGAAGTCTTCTTATACATTCAAACAAAGGCAATTTTTACAGTTGGAACAATTGTGTCTAAAAATATTTAAAGAGTACTCGATTCACTCTTAACTGTGGCATCACGGAATGCTTCCTCACACAATACTATGATAAACTACTTAGTAAAATGATGAAACATAAATTAGGAAATTTCTTATCTACACCTTCAAAGAATTAGAGAAGAAATAAAATAAAACTAACCAAAAAGCTGTATCCTCAGAACTTGCATTCTTTTTATTGGCAACTATAGTACAATTCTTTCTGTTGGACTTTCTGCTACTGAAATAAATAAATCCACATGTATAAATATATATAAGCATACACATATATAAACTATGTGTATATATAAAAAGTCTTCTATATCTAATAAAAGCATCAAACGGAATATTTTTATAAAAATATATTTAAAAAAACTACTGCACATATTCGTGACTTTGGCATCAATAAATGCTTCTTTACATCTATAATGCAATAAAAAACTACAAAGTAAATGATTAAACAGAAATGAGCAAGGTCCAAAACAATACTTTGAAATTATTGGAGAAAGAAGAAAATATCACTAACACAGAAATTGTATCTTTAGAATCCGCATTCTCTTCTTTTGTAACAGCAGTACAATCCTTTGTCTTAGACTTTTTGCCATATACAGAGGCAAACCTATATATAAGGTGGTTTCATTTTATAAACACAATCAATTGTAGATGTAGAACTAGCAAATAAGGTTAATGGAGAATATTTATAAAAAGAAACAAATATTTAAACAAAACTGGATTTGTTCTAGACTTTTACAACATTAAATGCTTCCTTATATCTATAACACAATGCAGAGCAATGAAATAGAAAGGAGAACTTTTAAAGAAAGGAAGAAAAGAAACTTACTAAAAAACCGTGCGGCCAGTATTAGCTTACTCTTCTTTAGCAACAGAACAATCCAATCCCTTTGGACGTGCCACTTCCGCACACCTATAATACAAAACAATCGCTCTTAGCCAGAAAATATAAAATCTTGTCATAAGCCCAGACCTGATGATACAAAAAAGCAACCAAGTCATTTATCAATTCTCAAAGAATGGAGTAAAAACATAAACTTAATAAACTACACAAAAAAACATAAAACATCACTTACAACGATGAAAATTTCAGTCTTTACATCCTCTTCTAGAAAGGAAAAAGTAAATAAATCATAGCCTCTATTAAACCTTAAAAATGAGTAAACAAATCACATATATAATATAAATACCTTCGGCCAACAAGAGTCCAACTTGAATTGCTGTTACAATTAGCCTCACTATGCGATTCAGTGGAAAAATAACAGACGTGGATGCTTCAACTGAGCTCAAATCCTTGACTTTATTCGTTTGACAGGGAAGATCAGAACCCTAAAATTATTATCACAATATAATTATTATCACAATATCTAAAATTATTATCACAATATAGATTAGAATTAAAATAATGGATTAATATAAACGTGATTAATCTTAATCATTTTGCTTATTATTTGGATTAATGAAAAATATTTTGGTTATCAGCCTTACTAGCAATAAGCTAAATACCACATGTTTAAAATTAAATTGTGTTACCGAACTTGCTTTGCTGACAAGAGCAAATTATTAAAAAAATAGCACCAAAGGTTCAAAAGCTATTTACGTCTTTAAACTCTCTTTGAAATGGCAGAATAAAGTTCTGGCTTTCTCTCCGCCTTAGATGCCTCCAAGTGATGCGTGACTTTGTGTGCAGGTTTCTTAGAAGACAAGGACACTACAAAACACAAAAAATAAATCATAATCTATAAGATGTAAAACCAAATATAATCTGTAGACCTCACACACATAGCTTGACAAATCACAACAAATTCTTTGGTCCGATAGCCCCATCAAAACTATGTATGAAATCTTGAAAACAATATAAAAGAAACCAACCTACACAGTAACCTTGCTTAATGACAAGTCATAATCAATATAATATAGTTACATAAAACTAATTTGAGCTTTAAATCTTTTAAAGTGATTACATTCTAAAACCTACCAGTTTAGAATATAAAATTAAATATACTACAATAGACTTAGTTGATCATGCTTAGCCACGTTTAGTCTAAACTATACTTTTAATATAAAAACTTACATGTCAGCAACCATTCTACCAGAAAAAAATTATATTTAATCACTTTCAAATATAAACAAAATAATAAATCTGTAAGCTTATGCTAAATGCTATTAGCAACAACAGATATGAGAAAAGTACACCATTTTAAGCCTCAGCAATTCAATTCATAATAATATGCATTAAATATCTTAATAATCACAAAATACCGAAAGATACACACGTCAATACAGAAAAAAAATATTTTATAAATAAAATTATGCACTACTCCACAGATCTGTTTTTTCAGTTTTGCATTTTACAAGCCATGCAAAGAATCCAGACAAAATGACATTGATGTATTCTGCAAAGACCTCATTGCCTGTCCTATCAAGATGGACGCCATCACGTCCCTCCCAGGTATCTCTCCCAAGTCATTTTTGGAGAAGACCAAAAGTGAAGATTCCAATCTCTTAATCTACGCCTTTCAAAAAGCCGCAAATCCATTTGGCTTTCGTGTGAATATCCTGGTCATAAAAACCTGACAGTTGGGATTCCCAGCCTCCACTTCGTGAAGTATCTGCTTGTGCGCCGTGAAATTTTCTTTAGGCTCCTTCCGTCATTGCCTCCATCAGTTGAAAGAGAAAATAAGCTGTGTTCTGAGCTTACTGTCTCTTATTCCCTCAGCAGTGGAAACAGTTATTGCCTGGGTCTTGGTATGTCTACACCCATACTTCTTTGCGATGTCGGAATGGGGGAACATTTTTCAAAATAAGGCGCCAGAATGATCGGAAGCAGATAAGGAAATATTGTGCTCAATTAAAAACCATGCGAACAATACTTCAGCTTTAATCACACCATTTTTTTTCTAATTTTGAAGAATAAAAATTGTTAATAGGATGCTGATGCACCTGTGCTTTTGCAGTAGTACAATGTTTAGAACCGATCACTTGTCGGCGACAATCACCCAGTCCACCGTGGACAATAGAGAATTCCGAATTACAAATAGTGCATTTTGCAGAGCCTTCTTTTCCCGATACTAATCAAGGAAACTTTTTAGTATATTCCTCTCTAAGCTTTTGATTATTCTTCCTCTTCTTTCGTAATCCATCGTCATTAGAAATCTCCCGATGCTGATTAGATCTTTTCAAATAACGATCCATCACAATTAAATTTAATAATACTTGATAAAATACACAACTTAAAAATTAACACGAGAAAATCTGCATGAAAAATAATCTAAAATTTCAAACAAAAACGTATCATTCATTCTTTTAAATAATAGCACACTGAAGAGAGGTTTGTACTGCCTGATACTTTGAAAGTCTCATTTCTACCTCTACCGAGGTGGGACACCATCGTACACCGCCACAATGAATCTCTTTCGCCCCACCCAGACAAAAGCATTGCAGGCAAAACAAAGTGGATATTAGTTAGAAGAAAAAAAACATTGAAATTAAAAAAAAAAGGTGATTAAGGAAGAAACAAATAAGGCATAAGTTTCACATCAGAAAAAAATATTTTTTAAAAAATGAGGAAACGTTAGATCTTAAATAATAGCACACAGAAGAGAGTTTTGTACTGCCTGATACTGTGAAAGTCTCATTCCTACCTCTACCGAGGTGGGACACCATCGTACACCGCCACAATGANATTGAAGTCACTTCACTTCACACGGTGTAAAGCAAAAAACTAACGCAGTTTCTCAAAAAACAGCTGCATTCAGGCAGATTACAATGGCGCCGCCTTCATAATCACGTGGTTTCTCCCGACCAACGCTATCCGCTCATGACGTCATTTTCGGCGATACGCATTCAGTGACGTCACCACGCTCGAAAGACGACAACAGCGGAAGCGGATAGATCGGACAGGCGCTTTCGTTTTATCCGTAGCATTTTGCTCCGTAGTTTACCTCCAATGATTAAACCTTCATATTGCTAAAAAAATATATATATATATGAAAAAAACAAAACAATCATCATCATATCGCTCATGGGCTTCAATAGCGGCACTACTCAAAAATTTAAGTTTTGAGATAAATGGGTTTAAAGTTTTCATTGCTAAGCAAAATGCATAAGAACTGCTTTCGTTTGCTTAAACGAAGATTACCTTCAAGTTGAATTATGAGTTGTGCTAATGTTGCTGCTGAAAGAATGTGTATTTTCATATTTACGCCTATGAGTGATATGCCACAAAATAACAAATATGTAAAAATCATAGTATATATTATATTTAAAAAGCTAATTTCTTTTAAACACAAACGCGTTTTCAATGTACCTAATAGTATAGTGTCTTAATAGCTGTTAAATTCTTATAAAGTTGAACTAGTTTTCAAGATAACTAATTACTTCCGAAATATTTTTCAGTTATTTGAACTTATTATTGTAGTGATTACTCTTATCAAATTGGAGCTTAAAAATAGATTATTTAGCAAAATAGATTGTCTCTTATTTCCAGTAAAATTCTTGCCCACATCATTGGATGTATTTCTAGTATGCTATGGGAATTGTAGTAACTTAGTTAAATTGCTCTAATAAATAAACAGCCAAAATATTTTACATTGAGTATTAATTAGAAGTATGTTATATAAAAATGTGCATGATAAAGTTAAGAATATTAGATGTTCCTAAATAACTCCTGTATTGCAAATCATAAACTTATTTGGATGAAATGAGAATGGCAATTTAAAGTATAATTTACACCTGATCAATTTAACATTAGAAGTAGCTTTACTAAGTATAAAACCTAACATCGGAAACAAATTAGGAATAATAGTTAAAAAAAATTACATATACAAATTTTTTACTTGAATGGATTAATATTGCAAAGAGTAAAGAATTGTTAAATGAAAGATTTATTAAATTACAAATGATACTTTTAACTTTAATCAAAGAATTTTGTTGAATCAATACCAGGAATAAAAATTTTTTAAATTGTTAATAAAACTCGTGAGACATACTAAACTCTACCAATTAAATTCAACTATTACACGTGTAGTAATTGCTGCATTACTATGTAGGAAATGTATTTTTTACGTTAAGGGGACACAGGACCTTTCACTTGAAGAAGAAAAAATTTTTAATGCTTATTTGAACTTTTATGGCTTAATTTGTATGTTTTTAACTAAATTATATATTTTAAGTTTATTAAAATTAATTTATAATCATAATTTTTTTCAAAAAATAGCAAAATTTTAAAAAAATT